AAAAGAAAAATTAAGATAAAACTTCTTCTCATGTAATTGGGTTACCTAATATTTAATTTACACATGAGGATAGCAGTGAGTATAACAGGAGTATATAGGTGTGGAGGCAGAGGAGGTAATAAGAGAGCCTGAGAAGGGCCAGGCCTGTTGAGCTTACTCCCCTGCCCCTGGAGGTTCACATGAAGTAGGTTCAAACTTCTGCTTATTATTCCCACTTCCCAGATGACAGGACTGAGGGTCAGAAGAATGAAAATAAGGATGTAGGGGCACAAAGGGTCCAAGTCTGAATCCCAGCTAGGAAGGGGCAGAGCTGTATGATTCTTGCCACCATACAAGCCACACACCATTCGGCTCCTTGGGCTCTCAGGATCCGTAGGGGTTCTGCACTTCTGGCCTTTCTCTGTTCCCTTGAAGCCAGAGGAATGTGGTCTGCCCTAGCTAGCAGAGGCACTGAGTCTTCTCATTTCCCTGTTTCTGCCTTTTCCTCCAGAGATGGCTTTTTGGAGAATGACATCATCTATTCCCTGTCTTTCCTGCTGAATGATCCCCACCCCATCTGCCGGAAGAACCTTCATAAGGCATACAAGCAGCTGGCCCAGCTGCCTTCAGGTAGGCTTGCATCCTGCACAAGGATATGGTTGCCCAGCTGTCTCTACTCCATGCCACATATATATGCCAGGGTGCAGATCATGGCCAGAGCACCGTTTACTTTTCATGAAGTTACAAAATATATTTAAAAAGAACAAATCTTTAACAAACATTTGATTAAGTTGCATTATGTGAACATGCTGTCTAACCACTACCAAGACCAAGAAGTAGAGTATTACCAGCCCTCCAGAAACTTCCCATGTGCTCCATACCAGGTATTGCTCCTCACCCAATAGTAAACAATATCTTCAAATTATAAAACCATAGGTTATGCCTCTTTTAAAAATTTACATAAATGGGCTTGGCGCCCATGCTCTGTGGTTAGGGCGCCAGCCATATGTGTCAGGGCTGGCAGGTTCAAACCTGGCCCTTGCCTGCTAAACAATAATGAAACAGCTACAAACAGCAACAAAAATAGCCAGGCATTGTGGTGGGTGCCAGTAGTCCCATCTAAACAATAATGAAACAGCTACAAACAGCAACAAAAATACCCAGGCATTGTGGTGGGTGCCAGTAGTCCCATCTACTTGGGAGGCTGAGGCAAGAGAATTGCTTAAGCCCAAGAGTTTGAGGTTGCTGTGAACTCTGATACCATGGCACTATACCAAGGATGACATAATGAGACCCTGTCTCCAAAAAAAAATTTTTTTTTACATAAATGGAAATATATAGCCATATAGCTGGTAATATTTTGCTTTTAGCTACTTTTGCCATTTTGTTTCTGAGATTCACATTTATTGCCGATTCTGTTGATTTGTGCTGGAGTATGGTATTTATGTGAGTACACAGTTTATTTATTGTTTCCATTGCTAATGAATGTTTGAATTGTTTCTGGCTTATGGCTACCAAGAATAGAGTGGCCATAAACACTCTTATAAATGTCTTTCTATGGGTACGCACATGCATTATTTTGAGATGTACTCAGCAGTAGAATGGCTGGCATTGGGTAAGCTCATGTTCAGCCTTTAGAAGGTACTACCAAATGGTTTTCTAAAATAGTTGTGCTGATTTAGACTCCACTAGCAGGGGGTGGGGGTGGGGTTCCAGGCTTGACGTCCTCACCAGCAGTTGATCTTTTCTGTCTTTTTCTTTTAGCTATTTTGGTCAGTGTATAATACTATCTTATTTAGATTTTAATTTCTATTTCCCTGATGATTGAAAGAGGAGGGCCCTTAAATGCTCTCCTTTGTGAAGTATCATAGATCATTTTTGAGGAATAAGAAAGGCCCAAGGACAACGCCAGGTACAGTCACCGAGGGCCACTCCACCCCCAGCCTGAGGTGTCCCTCAGTTGACCGCTCCTGCTAATTAGATGTGGAATCCAGCGTAGCAGCCATTTGCCAGGAACAGCTAGAGGGCTGAGATTTGTGTCACATTGACATCCACCTTGAATATTTTTAAACAAGAGGCTCATTCCAAGAGGCCTAAAGTGAGGATGAAGTGAGCAAATTTTCCAAGTGCACAGCACAGAATTGTGCACAAAGGATAGATCATAAATGTTCAAGGCAAATGTGAGCGCTGGTGTGAGGCTTAAGGCCCAGACAGAAATGGCTATGGGATTAAACCTGGAGCAGAGCCCCTAAAGGCCTATGATTGTGGCCTGGCCTCTGAGGTATGTCTCCGTTCAGCTGACCAGGCTGGGTGTTGGGATCACTTTAGGCCTGTGGTCCATAGTCCTATCCCAGGTCTGGGGGAAACAGTCTCTGTACACATGTTTCTGAGACACACCGTGGATGATTCTCACATGTGCCTGGGGTTGAGAGCCCCTAGGGTATCAGGGTGATCCGGGGAGACCAGTGCTGGGCCTGAGCTAACCCAGGCAGTGAGCAGGAGTCTCATGCCCTTGTTCTTAGGTTGTAAAGAGTTATAGGGCTCTCAAAGGGTGCTCTCAAAGTTACAGGGCTCTCAGTGTATCCATATTGCGACCCATTCAAAGCATTCAGAGAAGTACAGAGCCTGTGAGTAAACATTGGGTATGCTTACCCAGCTTTGCCAAATCTTAACATTCTACATGTATATTTCATATTTGCTTGAAATTTTTACAGATCCAGTCCCAGCACCCTGTGAACCTCCCCCACCTAGCACCCTTCCTCCTGCCCTCCCTTGAAACACCAAATAACTCGGTGATTTATCCCCCAAATGCATGTCTTTATATTTTACCATAGATGTAGTTATGTATAGACTATATATAAATCTTGCTTCACATGTTTTAAAACTATATAAATGGATCTTGCCGTATGTATCCCTCTGCTACTTAAAAAAACCTGAAAAAAAAGTAATGTTATAATTTTGAGATTTATCCATGTCGTGTCACAAGCTCTATTTAATTTCTTTCTACCACTGCATACTGTTCTGGTGTTTGAGTGTAAGATATATTCACCTTCCCCGGCTGGTAGGCATATTGGTTGTTTCTGCTCCTGTGATGTGGGAGGAAATTGCAGTGATCATTCCTGATCAAGGCTTCCTGGTCTGTCCAGGGGAAGTCTCTCTAGGGCAGCGGTTCTCAACTTGTGGGTTGTGACCCCTTTGTAACAATGAAAATCCATCCTGCATATCAGATATTTACATTATGATTCATAATAGTAGCAAAATTACAGTTATGAAGTAGCAATGAAAATAATATCATGGTTGGGGGTCACCACAACATGAGGAACTGTATTAAAGGGCCGCAGCATTAGGAAGGTTGAGAACCACTGCTTTAGGGTCTCTGTTGGGGAAGGCATTGCTGGGATGGGCAGCGAGAACGCACCCTCACCTTCACCTTTGGCAGATTCTGCGATTGCTTCCCAGCCCAGCCTTCCCCAGCTGGCCGCATCCCTGCCAGCAGGGATGCTATAGCATTCCACTGTTGTGGGGCTTTGCTGTCTCTAGTAACTGGTGAGAAGGAGCAACTTCCTTCTGCCTGGTGCCTCCTTGGACTGTCCTGCCCAGTGCCTCTGGGGAGCCCGGGCCCCCTCCCAAAGAATCACTTTCCTGTTTCTTAGTGATTTCAGGCAATGTGTCATTTATCCTGAACTCCAACCATTTGTTGGTTACCTATATCACAGATGTTTTTTCCCAGGCTGTTTGCTTGGCTTTTCATTGGCAGGAGTTTTTCATTTGAATAGTGTAGTCATTTTCATCAGTCTTTTCCTCAGTGCTTTTTTATTGGGGATGCCATGTAAGAGAATCCTTCTTTACCCTGAGCTCATGAAGATATTCTGCCATATTTTCTTCTAAAATGTAAGAGTTTTGCTTTTCACATTTAGCTCATGAAGCTACCTAAAAGGGATTTTTGTTTGTTTCTATCTTTGCCAATCAGACATTGCCTCAATTCCAAAAGCTCTGTGGATATCTGGGTTCTGGGGGACTCATCCTTTGTGCCTGGCATATAGCACCTGGCATGGGGCTGGCACTCAATAAGTAGTGGTTGATAAGGAGATTATATGTCCTATTTTATTTATTTATTTATTTTTGAGACAGAGCTTCAAGCTGTCACCCTGGATAGAGTGCTGTGGCATCACAGCTCATAGCAACCTCCAATTCTTGGGTTCAAGCGATTCTCCTGCCTCTGCCTCCCGAGTAGCTGGGACCACAGGCGCCCGCCACAATGCCTGGCTATTGTTTTGGTTGCAGCCATCATTGTTGTTTGGTGGGCCTGGGTTGGATTTGAACCCAGCAGCTCCAGTGTATGTGGCTGGCACCTTAGCTGCTTGAGCCACAGGCATCGAGCCGTCCTATTTTATTTATTTACTTATTTTCTTTTGCATTTTTTTTTTTTTTTTTTGGCTAGGGCCAGGTTTGAACCCGCCACCCCCGGTATATGGAGTGAGCCACAGGCGCGCCCCTATAATCCTATTTTAAGGAATCATTTGTTAGTTGGTTTCTTGCCACGATTCACTTGCTTGTTTATTCATTCATTTGATAAATACGTGTTGGGCCCTTGCTCTCTTCCAGCCACTATGCCTCAGTTTTTTCCCCTATAACATGGGAGAAGTGTTTCCAATGTCTTTCTCTGTGTCCTCTGAATCCTGACTGGGTCTAACTTGCTGTGTGATTTCCCAGAGTGACCAGTAGGGGATGCTCCATGACTGAGCAGTGCACCAAGGGGGCTGCGGTCTGCAGGGGCCGGGTGGTGGTGCCACACAGGGGAGGAGAAACCAGGAGTAGGCAGAGGCCATGCAGAGGCTGCCAGCCCTGGCTCTCTATCAGCTGGCAGAGAAACTGTGGAGGATTCTAATCCCATGTGGAAACAAGTCTCATTTTGTGGCAAGGCATTCTAGGGGAGACAATGCTGACGTTATAATTGAGAGTTCATCTCTAACTGGATTTGGGGGTGCATCTGGACACTGTTGCACCCTTGTCCCACCCTCTAGGTGGCCCAGAGCAGCCCCCTGCTTTTGCTGGTCCTGACAGCATGGGACTGTAGAAGGGTGGGCCTTTCCTTTCCTACCTGCCCTCAGGGCAGGGTGTGCAGGACCCCGGGCACATCTTTGGTGGGCAGTTGCTCTCCTCCCCAGACTTAGAGGAAATGATGTTCACCAATAGGACACTGCCCACTTGGTTACCAGCCTGCCGCACCCTTCATGCCTTCCTTCCTCTCCCCTGCTTATCTACCTTCCCCTGCAGTAGGAGAGAGCCTCTCCCTGCTTGGCACAGGCAAGCCTGTCCACAGGCCCAGCAGCTGTCGTTGGGCTCCCTGTCTGGAAAGGCAGCTGTTCTCAACCTTTCCCACAAGTTTTCATAATCCCAAGAAGCCTGGGCAGGCCATTACAAAGGGAATTACTGAAGGGTCCTGTTCCCCAAGAGCATGCGTTGGGCTGACCCAGTTGGCACTTGGCCTTGACCCGCCTCAGCATCGAAGCCCTGTCAGGCTTGCCTCAGCTGGCGTTCAGCCTCATGTGGCACTCTCCTCTGCATGGCGCAGTGCAGCCCTTCCTGGCACTTGTCCCATTTGTCCTGGATGGCCAGCATTGGAAGTAGGGGCCTGGGCCTGCCATGCCTGCCATGGGTGTCTGGGAGCATGGACAAAAGTAGCAAAGCCTCTTGGGTCTCAGCCTGGTTAGGTCACTTGTCCCACATTGTGCGCTGCTAGGAAGTCACCCCCTCTCAGAAGTGACTCTTCTGTAAAATAGAATTTCCTCTTCTGTAAAATAGAATCACTAACTCTGGCTTCTCAAGGGTGTGGCTGGCAGTGAGCAGCCACTGAGGGAAACTAGGATTGTGGTGACCACTGTCATTGCCCCACTGCACCGCCGCAGAGACCACACAGGGTGTATAGGGTGGCAGTAGCCCATAGGAGCCACATTAGCCGTGTGTCCTGGGAGAGGGGCCTGGGGCTGCACAAAGGGCACCAGGCTGGAGTTAGTCAACTGCAGAGGTAGGGCACAGCCCAGCCACCCCAAGCTCTTCTCTGCCTGCTCTAGCCTCCTCTTGAGCTCCCTCTGAGAGTTCTGGCACTCATTTCCCCCTGGCCAGGCTGTCTGTGGACTTCTGCACTCAGCAGGCCTCTGCTGAAACCTGCAGCTCAGCAGGTTGTGCCTTCCCAGATGGGTGCCACAGCATATGTGAGGGTAGGGCAGAGGTGCTGGCCCTTCCTGCCCCAGCCTGGAGTAGCTACCCAGCCTGTGGGCTGTGGGGCAGGAGGAGATTTCCAATGAGGCCACCCAGGTGGCTTTGGGCTGACACTGGGGAAGGTCATGTTGGACAAAGGGATCAGCATGGGGGAGCTGGCCAGTGGAGACACACGTGCTGATGAAGCTCTGGGCTCCAGGAGGAAGCCCTTTTCCAGGGACAGCCCCTCTGACCCTCACACACATTAGGAGGAGAGGCAGAAGCCTTCTAAAAAATTGTATCCTCATATTAATTTGAAAAAATAAATACTCAAAAAGATTTTTCCCCTGTAGCTGCATATTTTTCCTTGTGAAATCACTGCTCTTTTTCACAGCACAAAATTAAGTTTCAATGATTTTAAGTCAGACATTATTGCTTCTGAAACAAAAGCCCCTGTAGGTTCTTGCTGTTTGATGACGTGGGAGGTGTGAAGGGAATTCCCAGCAGGCTCAGCAGTAGTGGGGACTAGAGGGTCAGGTCCATGGGTGTCTTAAGTGTGTGCATCTGCGCATGTGCACATGTACGTGTGCTGCCCACCGCCCGCTCAGGGCTTTGCGTGAGGTCCTGCTTGAGGAGGATATTGTGGGATGGCTCTGTGCTCCCCATGGGCTCCTGCCCTAGCTGGGTGCAGAGTGACCTAGGGAGAGAGCTGGGTGAGAATGTCTTTGGGAAGTTACTGGGCCTGTGCCTCTGTTCTTCCTGGGAACATGACAGTTTTTTGGCCTGGTTCATCTCTCTGACCTTGACTTGGGCCCCTTTCTCATCTGTAAAATGGGTGGGTCACTGGTAACCCTCCCATCTGTGCTTCCTAACTACGTCAGGATGCCTCTGACCACACGTGCTAGTCAGTGAGCAGAAGGCCCTGAGCGTCCCCTCCTCCTCAGCACCCAGCAGGGTTTGTTCTACACTAGTGGGGGTGGTCAACTCCTTCTGGACACAGCCACCCTTCAGACTCTTGGGGCACCTCTTCCACTCTAGAATGACCCTGACCTTGGCAGAGGTGTCTGCAGAGTATGAGGGGAGAGGTCCAGGTGATGGCACAGCCTAAGCCAATGCTGGATGGTGGCTGGGGGACAGTGGGTTAGAAAGGAACAGTCATCTGCCCCCAACTCTGCCCCTTGGCTCCATGTGCCTGACAGATCTCTCCACTTTTGCAGTTTCTTTCCTGTCTTTTTTTTTTTTTTTTTTGAGACAGAATCTCACTATGTTGCCCTCAGTAGCGTACAGTGGTATCACAGCTCACAGCAATCTCAAACTCTTGGGCTTAAGCGATTCTCTTGCTTCAGCCTCCCAAGTAGCTGGGACTATAGGTACCTGCCACAGTGCCCAGCTAGTTTTGTTGTTGTAGTTTTAGTTGTCATTGTTGTTTAGCAGGCCTGGGCCAGGTTTGAACTCCCCAGTTTTGGTGCATGTGGCTGGCACTGTAACCACTGAACTATGGGCACTGAACCTTCTTTCTTGTGTTGAGGTGGTTTTTTTTTTTTTGAGACAGTCTTTGTTTATTACCCAGGTTAGAATGCCATGGTGTCAGAGTAGCTCACAGCAACCTCAAACTCTTGGGTTCAAATGATCCTCTGCTTCAGCCTCCCGAATAGCTGGGACTTACAGGCACCCACAGTGGCGCCCAGCTAATTTTTCTATTTTTAGTAGAAATGGGTTCTTGCTCTTGTTCAGGATGGTATGGAACTCCAGAGCTCAAGTTATCCACCCACCTTGGCCTCCTAGAGTGCTAAGATCACAGATGTGAGCCACTGCACCTCGCCTGAGATGGTTTATTCTTGATGTTACATTTAAAAGATGTAACATGCTGATTTCACTAGGAGGGAGAAAAGGAATCTCAGTGCAGAAGTCCCTGGCTGCCCTCTCAGATGGCACCAAGTCAGCCACATGTCAGCCACACACAGCACACAGGGACGAGGCTCAGCGCCATTCAAGTTATTTTATTTTCTTAAAGTAGACAATCTTTGACTTTCATACGATCACCAGCTCCTCTTTTTCCCTCTGTACATCTCTTAAAGTCCTGTGATTCTGCACACTGACCTTGGACACACAGGTATCACGCAAAGGGTGAGAGAGATTTGGCAAGGGCCCTGGCGGTGCCTCCCCTCAAGAGGCTCCTGTGTACATGCAGCCTCCGTGAAGGTCCCATGGGCCCTGGGGCAGGAAGGCCCGTGCGGTCCCAGCAGGGCCTCCCTCAGGCCACAGTACTGGCTGTGCCTTCACAGGAGTTGGAGCTGCTCCCAGTCTTTCTCGGCTGCGGGGCCTGTGGGGATGGGAGTGCCGTTTCTTGCTCCCCTTCCTTTACTCAGCAAAGCCATAGATAATTTACTCTTTGAAATATCAAGACATTTAGCTATTGTTCATTTGCTCTCAGGTGAAGGACCTTCTTTAAATACATCACATTTATTTTCTTAAATAAAAACAAAGCAGAAAACTGCACCAGTAACAAGAGGACGCTGGAGAGGTTTATGTACAACACGTGTCCCACGAGGTTGGCGCAGGACTGCCACCTACCCCAGAATTTCTTTGGAGCAGAGGGACAGAATCATCCAGATAACACCTTTTACACTCAGCAAGCCAGACACAAAAAGGACCACCTAAAAAAAAATATGTTTTGAAAATCTGCATTTAAAAAAGAATACTCAACTGCGGTTGGAAATTTTCTGTATTTTTTGTTTTTCTGCGAAACACCACGAGATTTGGCCAAAAAAAAGGATGTCAGAGAAGAAAAACCAGGTGTTGATTTATAAAACATCAGACTAGTAGAAGAAAAGCTGGAATCCCAGCTGGCCTAGTTTGAAATAAATCGTGCCACTCATTTTATTGTGTTGATTTTTGCTGCATATTTTGAAGCTGTTTAAAAAGAGCCATGAGTGGCTAGAGGTCGGGTTAGTGCTGCCACCTGGCTCCCAAGGTCCTAGGCTGGGAACAGGTGTGGTGCAGAGCAGCCATGTGTAGGCCAGCGGTGGGCACAGCGAGCAGGGAAGTGCACAGAGCTCGCGCTGGTCCTCCCTCTGGTCAGCGGCAGCTTCCCCGGCTGGGGCTCGAGTGGTGAGTGGACTCTCCTCTAGGCTGACCTGGTCTCAGCCCCACTGCCTCTCCCTGACAGTCCAGTGCAGACCCCCATGCAGAGTAGGGCCACTTCAGAAAGGCAAAGTGGAGGGGCAGGATGGGCTCGTAGTGACCTTGTGACAGCTTCTCACATCTCCCAGAGACCGTGGCGCGTCAGAGGACTGTGTCATCTCCAGACAAGTGTGCATGTGCATGTGTGTCTACCTACCTAGCAATCTATCTGTATATGTTAATGTTTGCAGAAACATGGGGCCAAGGAGGTGGAGGCCAAGGGGCAGGGGGCATCCTCAGGCCCCCGTTTCCTGCCCTGGGTTTCGGCTTCTCTAGCATGAGTCGGGGCGTGACACCCCATGGGTTTCACCTCAGGTGAGTGGGCCGGGTTCCTCAGCAAAGGCCAATGTACTTGAGATTGTTCTGTATGATGACGTCTGTCACCGCGTCAAAGACAAACTGGATGTTGCTGGTGTCCGTGGCGCAGGTGAAGTGGGAGTAGATCTCCTTGGTCTCCTTGTTGCGGTTCAGGTCCTCGAACTGCCGCTGGATGTAGACGGCGGCCTCCTCGTACGTGTTCTGGCCCTTGTACTCGGGGAAGCAGATGGTGAGCGGGATGCGCCGGATTTTCTCCGCCAGCAGGTCCTTCTTGTTCAGGAAGAGGATAAGAGAGGTGTTGATGAACCAGTTGTTGTTGCAGATGGAGTCGAAAAGCCGTAGGCTCTCTGCCATTCGACTCTGGGGGAGGAAAGTGGCCACGTTAGGCAGGGAGGCAGGCAGCGGGCAGAGACCCCAGCCCTGTGGCTCTGCTGGGCCCAAGTCCTTCTGCCAGGGTCTCCAGGCTGGGACCGGTCCCCTCACAGCACCCTCCCTGGCCCCTGCCCGCAGGGGACTCCTATCTGGTCCAGTCTGTCTTCTCACTTCCCATGGTATAGCTGACACCACCCTCCTTGCATGTGGCATGTGTTTGAAAGAGGCTCTCTAACCTGTCTCGGTCCCTCTGGGGATTGTGGTCAGTGACCTCAACATGTGGCTTTGGGGTTGCAGCTGTGCTGAGCACCGCTTCCTCCCTGTGGGCCTGGGCACCTCCAACTTCACCCTGAGGACACTACAGTCTCCCTGTGTCCACCCTAAGCCAGCCCCACACCCACAAGGGAGCCACTGGCAGAATGCGTCTCCTCCACATGTGTGGGCAGCTTTCTGCCACCTGGGTTTTGGTCTAGTCCTTAGGGAAGGTCAATCTAGAGCCTGTGAGGAGGCAGCTTTCCCTTCTGTAAACAAAGCTGCCAGTGGTGAGAGCTGGGGAGGAAACGCCAGCCTGGGGCCAGGCTCCTCCCACCAGCTGCTGTGGGGCTTCGGACCTCCCCCAGTCCCCTGTCTGCTGGCTCTGCTGTCAGGTAGCCCAAGCTGAATGGGTGCTCGGAATGTGCACAGGAGGGCAGCAGCGACCCTAATGGAGTGTGGCACCCGGGCATTCTTTAATTCTCCTCTTTCTGAGGATCTTAATGTGTTATGGTAACTCTGGGTTTTTAAGGAGCATGATGCCTTTATCTCAAATCTGCCTTTCCCCCACAAAATTGACAATCTTAACTTCTAAAGGAAGTAAATATCTGGAACCACCACTGGGAATTGCTGGTGAAAGCTCACCTTCTTTTAAGATAAACTGATTGAGCCAGTGTCTGGATAAAGTCTGGAACCAGTTTAATTCAGATCTCAGGTTTCGGATTTTAGGACTTCTCTGACCAGATTTCATCACCAGTGACCATGGTAATGACAGTGGTAACTCAGGTTGGTTGCTAATGGTTCATTTAGGTGTAAGGCAGCAGCATCAACAGTGACTACAGTGACTGTGACAGCAGCTGGACATGTGGTGCCAACCCATTCCATCCTCACAACTTCCTTTTCCTATTTTACAGATGAAGAAACTAAGGCTTGGCAAGGCAGGAAATGTGCTCCAAACCCCAGAGCCTGGGGTGGGTGCCTGGGAAGACGCTCAGAATCTGCCAGTACTGAGACGCTGTGCTCCTGGGAGACCATGTATTTCAAAACCAATCTTGTTCCTTCTTTACAATGAGTTTAGAAACACAGGAAAGTTGGGTAGTCTCAGGTCTTGGGGGGGCATTCATCTTTGTGCAGAGATAAACAGGTGCATGGCCCCACCCCAGCAGTGTCTGGAGGAGCCAGTGCTTCCACAGCAGAACCTGGTCGTGTGTTCCCAAATGTGCAATAAGTGGTGGTCGAGGAACGTCACATCCCCTGAAGGGACAAACTAGCTCTAATGTATTCCTGAAACCCACCATGTAAAGCTGTGGTAATGGAGCTATCCTTTCTTGTAGTAGTATCACAATTGGGGGCTATGCTTCTGACCCCAGATTTTGCAACAGATAAATAACAGATATGGCCATATTAGCTCATATTCATTAATTCACTAAGCAAACACTTGCTGACACTCCCTCAGTCCACAGGCTACCGATGGGTCACCAACTTGCATGCCAGGTGATGGAGTTCAAGGGACAGGAGCCCTGGGGCTGCAGGGACAGAGGCCAGGCAGGGATGATAGGATTCTTCTGGGGGTGAGGCAGAGAGCTCCCCCCAGGGCTGGGTGGGGATGGATTGAGGTTCAAGGGTGAGTGAGCAAGCTGCCTGGGCTGCCTCCCTGAGCCCTGCTAAGTGATAGCCAGATCAGCCCAGCAGCTCCTGGGCAGGCAGGGGGGTCTGGGGAAGAGAAGGGGCAGGAGGGCTGCCTTGAAGAAGCTGAAGCAGTACACCTGTACTGGTCATTGGTCACAGAGAAGGCTCTGTGGGCTGGGGCTCTGCAGGGCACATGTGTGTGAGAAAGCACAGTTGCTGGCTCCATGTGGAGTAAGCTCTGCATGGCAGTGAGAGGGGCTGACAGACCACACGGCCCCCACCCCCCATCCCCAAGGCCATTTCAGCCACTCCTCTTCACCACCTCCCAGGACTCTTGACTCCAGCCGCGGGAATCGTGGTGTCCATCAAGCTGGTCTAATGCACCATGAGTCCGTCCCTCCTCTGAACCACTTCCCTGCTGATACCTTTGGACTTTGGGGGCCCTGGACAACCTCTGAGCCTCGGATTCCTGACTTAGAGATCTCCAAAGTCAGGGGCTTATCTCATAAGGCAGCTGGCGGGCAGAGGAAGTGGGTGGGGCATGTCACCAGGCAGCACTCTCAACAGGACCCAGCTGCTGTGGCAGTCTCCTCAGGACAAGTGTCTCCTGAGCTCCAGCCCCTCCCACATCTCAGGCTCATGTTCACATCCAGGGCTCCTCTTGCTGTGCTGGCATTTTGAGGCTCAGGTTGCCTGGTTTCTTCTCTATTCCTTGGGACGAACCTTGGGAGACAACTTTAGCTATCATTTAGTGTAGGTGCCTGGGAGATGATGGGCCTTGAAGAATAATACCAATGTCTCCACTTGTGTGGATGCTCAGTTCCCCAGTCCCATCTCTGAGCTGGGCCCTGCCTGGAAGGAGTGAGGAGAGCCTGCAGGAGGCACCGACCAGGTCTGGCTTGTGGACCTAAAGACACATGGCACTTCAGAGCATGGGACCCACACCAGTTAGGCGCCTTGATGCTGGTTGAGCTGCCCTGGCACCTTGATGCTGGTTGAGCCCTCACTGCATATGGGCTCTGCACCACCAGGAGGTGTATGTGGGCGCTTTCCCTGGGCTGGGATCTTTACAGACTGAGGGGGTCGTTAGAGGCCCAGCCTCCTGGACCTGCCTATGTCCTGTTTATTCTCCAGGGCCTGCTCGAGGACCCATCTTCCTGGAAACTCTGCCCAGCCTCTTGCTGCACACATCTGGCTGTGCCCTCTGTGTTAATCTGGCCTTGGGGGACTCCCTAGCACCACCTGCCCTTGGTGGGTATGCACAGGCTGCAGCACATGCCAGCTGTGGCTCTATCCTCCATCACAGCCCCTCCTGGCCTGGGGGAGGTTTTACCATCCCACCTGAAGGCAGTGTGATGGAGTGGTCTGACTGGAGCCTTGGGCTTCTGGGGCAAAGCTGGGAACAGCTCTGGCATCATCTGGTCCTGCCCACTGTCCTGTAGTGACTCTCACCAGCCTGACAGGAACACTTCTCCTTAGGCCCTGGAGCCAGAGGAGCCACCTCTGCAAACCATGACCTACTCCACACACAGGCCGGGGCCTTGAGATGGGCCAACTCACCAGGGCACACTTGGGAACCACCCACTACAATGTCCTGGCAGGAAATCCCCCTTGCCTGTACCTCTCCAGCTGCCAGTATAGCAGCAGTCATGGTGAAACACATCTGTCATTAGCTTCTGTGGCGTGATGCCACCCAGTTCTCTCCAGGGCCTGTCACCAGTGAGTCAGTACCTTCTAGGAGGCTGGGATTTGTCTGCACATTCATTTATATGAACAGCACAAAACAGGTGCCTCCCCAGAAGCCTTTGCAACTATGGGAGTGTCTGTGGTTGGTGTGGGGAACCAGCGATTTATAATAGGAGTGGCAGCTGCCGGGCAGCTGGATACAGTCCCCAGGGTGGAAGTTATTTCTTGAGCATTTGCAAAAAGAAAGCTCCTGCTCAGACAGGTCCAAATATGCTCAGCACCTCAGAACAGACTTTACCCTGGGCCTTGGCTTCCTTACCACAGTGGGGGCCCTGGTGGCCCAACCCTCAGGGGCTTTCTGCTTGCTGGCCTGCAAGTCTGGATATCCACTCTGAACTTGGCTGCTGGTGCCTATGGTGACCAGACCGGGACTGGCTCCTGGAACAACACTCTGAGGTCACTGACTAGGGCCAGTGGAGCCCAAGGGAGCCTGCCCTGTTAGTCAGAGGCCAGGGCTGACCTGGTGACATGAAGGGGTCTCGGATTCACTCTCACTGCTATGCTTGTCACGCCTCTCTGGGCTTCTGTGTCCTCATCTATACATGTCAGGGCTGCTGTGAGGTATGACGGTGCTGACCTGAGAACCCAGAGCTGCTGGGCCACACTCTGATAGATGCTCCCCCTCACCTGCATCCCCCACCACTGTTCTTGCCTTGGCAGTGGGAGATCTCTGGCAGCAAGGTCTCCTCAGAAGACCTCCTTCCCTCTACCCCTAGCATAGAGGCGGCTGCTGCAGGAAGGCTGGGGAAAGGGGAAAGGCCTGACTCTGCAGATTGGGGGTCAGCCAAGCTCCTGGAGGTTCCTATGACCCCTCAGCTCAGAGATTCAATGGCTGCCACCCCATGTGCCACCAGACCTTGTAACATACCAGTGAGCATCTTCTGCCTTGGCCTCTCCCTTGCTCCCTATGAGGCTGGGCTCCTTGAAGGAGGCTCCATGAGCTGTTTGTGGGGTACAGAGCAGCCCTGAGTCCTGGCCACACTCCTCTGTTTACCGCTCTTTCTGATGAATAGCTCGGGCCCTGTGCTGGGCCCAGGTGGGACTTCACGTGGCACCTAAGTCTGATCCCATACTTTAGAGATGTGGCTTCTGGGCCCCCTGGCAGGCACAGATTCTAGCAGCAGCCTCCTGTTGGGCTGAGAGCCACCCATCCAGGCCAGGGCCAGTTCCCTCTCCCAGGGGCAGCATATTTGGTTTGCATTTTAACAGGCTGCTGGGCAGATTGGGGGTAGGGACCTATGTGTCGGGGACTGGAGACATCACTGTACCTTCATCACAACTCAAGTCCACCACCATAAGGCACATACGGCCTTCCTGTGTGGGGCAGGCAGCTGGGTGGGGACCAGAGGCCAGAGAAGCAA